TTTTCAAGAAACACAATTGTTTTTGTATTTCTTGTTCAATTTTCTTTTCCATGGTTTGGTTTTATGATTTTTCATGGGTTGATTATTTTTAAAAAAAATTGTATCGTGGTTAATTTTTGTAGTCTGTTCAAGGAATGCCCTCATCCCGATGAGAAGCAGAGGCTGGAGCTCAGCAGAAGGCTTTGCTTGGAAACCAGGCAAGTCAAGTTTTGGTTTCAGAACAGAAGGACTCAGATGAAGGTACTCCACTCTACCACATTTTCTTTTTCCTTTAATTTTAGCCCAATATTAATTTCTTGATTAACATTCATACCAGACCCAAATAGAGCGTCACGAGAACTCCATCCTCCGGCAAGAAAACGACAAGCTCAGAGCCGAAAACATGTCCATAAAGGACGCCATGCGTAACCCCATCTGCACCAACTGCGGTGGGCCAGCCATGATTGGCGAGATCTCCCTCGAAGAGCAACACCTCAGAATCGAGAACGCCCGACTCAAAGACGAGCTCGACCGCGTTTGTGCCCTTGCCGGCAAGTTCTTGGGCCGGCCCATTTCATCCCTGGGCCCACCAATCCCCAGCTCTAGCCTTGAACTGAGCATGCTCTCCTCCACTCTTCCTTTGGGCCCGGGATTGGGCCCATCTGACTTCTTGGGCCCGTTGCCTCCCGTGATGCCACATCATAATCAGGGGAAGAATGTGGTGGTGGGTATGAATTCGATTGAACGGTCTTTGGAGAGGCCGATGTATTTGGAGCTTGCGTTGGCGGCTATGGACGAGTTAGTGAAAATGGCTCAGAATGACGGGCCCGTTTGGGTCGCGGGCTTGGAAGGGGGAAGGGATGTTTTGAACCGTGAAGAGTATTTGAGGATGTTTAGCCCTTGCATTGGGATGAGGCCTAATGGGTTTGTGAGTGAGGCGTCGAGAGAGACTGGCATGGTTATCATCAACAGTTTGGCTTTGGTTGAGACGTTAATGGATTCGGTATTGTCCTATTGATCGAAATGAATTGCTTATTACTTTTGAGTTCTTTTATCTTTTATGTAGTTGTTCTCTACATCTTTTATCTTTTAAT